CAAAGCTATCAGCAAGATTATATTCCCTCACGTAAATTTGCATTTCTTTATGAATTGTTTTTTTTTTATATTTAATCCATGGAATATGTTCACTTTCACTGGTTATAACTAAAGGAGTACAGCTGAACCATGCATTCCTGATTGGGAAAGCCAACTAAAAAAGATGAAATTTTTCAAGCAAAGTTAAGTTCCTCGAATATGGGGGAAATGTAATATCTTGATCCCTGGGCATGTTACAAATGACATCAAATAACATAAGATACATGCAAATAATGTAAAACAAAATCAACTTATTTGTAAAAAGTAACTCAGTAAGCTCGACAGCAAACAGAAATCCAAAACTTCACAAAAACACTGACTGATTCAACTCATCTTAAGATAGTTCTACAAACTTAAACTTTCTTTTATATATAATCTACCTTCAATTATGTGAAAAAAAATTGACATCAACTTAGAATCTTCCAGGCATTCTATGCTCTCTAGCTAAAAAACAAGTTACAACAAAAAACATAGCTCATAACAATATTAAGCTTAAAAGATCATCCAGTGGATAATAGGATAAAATATTATTTCTGTATGCCACATTCTAAGATAAATGGATAAGAGAACAAGTTTAAGATTCTTAAAAGACAGGATAGACTCAAGACAATTTAAAAAACAAACTTTATAACAGAGTTACTGACTTAACTTAAGGGAGAACTTAACTTTTTACTTTTCTTAAGGTTATTATCCAAGGATAACCCTAAAGGACCAAATGTTCCCTTGTTGTTAATAAGTTAACTACAGACACAGTGGCATAGATCAACATTACCAGCAATGTTAAATACTAAAAACTGCACTACAGTTTAGTTTGGTTTGTTTTGAGTTTCATGCAAAGCTACATCTGCACTAGCCATCCCTAGTTTATCAGTTAAAGACTAGAGGTAAGGCAGCTAGTCATCATCACCCATCCCCAACTCTTGGGTTACTCTTTTACCAATGAATAGTGGGATTGACCCTCATATTATAACACCACCATGGCTGAAAGGGCAAACATGTTTGACGGGATGAGGATTCAAACCCGCGACCCTCAGATTGTGAATCAAACTTCCTAACCACCTGACCATGCTACACCTCACTACAGTTTAGAATATAACAATAACCACTGGTGGTAATTATCGGGAACTGCACAACAGTTTATAAAATAAAATAATCAGTAATGTTAAGTAATATGAACTATACTATAGTTGCAAATATCACATAAACAACTTTCTAGCAACAACTGAAGTCACATTTTACAACTAAAAATTAGGATACAATTATGTTATAGACATACTAAATAACACAATATGGTATCTACTGCTAAGCTGTATTAACTTATATGGGTATGAAATTCATATTTCCCAAAACCTGCGATGGCAAGATTTATCTCAGGGAGTGGACAAATAGTTTTTTTTGTGTTATTTTCATTCCATTCATTCTATTGCTATAAAAACATTCCAAGTAAATTTCTAAATTCTGAACTGTGGAAATCTGGTATAAAGATTTAAAAAGTTGGAACTCTAAGCTTCATACTAAAACTACACACACATCTTTTTAAATCACACACAATAACAGATATTTAAGTTAATGTAACAATATTATATTGCTTTTATCTATAGCTGAACCCCAGTAAAGTTTGATTTCCAGCTCCATGAAGAACATATAATAATAAAATTATACAGAAAGCTTTAATCTTATGTATATTATACAAACACCCACCCACAAAAGGATAACATATTCATCAGGCAGAAAACAGTTTTATAATAAATATTAGAAAAACTAATATCAAAAAACATCTTTAATTACAGATGTTTTAGTTGTTTTAAATTCCATCACCAGTATTAATACCTCAAAAAGTTAGTTCACAATATCCCAACTATAAAAAAAAGCTATTATGTAAGAAGTTTTTGATAGAAACAAAAGTTTAAAAAGAACACAGAATTAAATGTATCATAAAGGGTGCAGTAGACAACAAATGATTAACTGAGAATGTAATTAAGGTCATAACAGTGTACAAAAATACCCAGTAACAAGTGGTGCTTACATTACTTATATTTTAATTGGGTTACTAAATACAAAGCTTACAAAATTACCCAAGATAAAGCATGCAATTAGAGACAGTAAACTGTACAGGTGAAAATGTCAAGTTAAAATACAACATTCACTGCATATATACTTATTAATACAATTAACTATAACAATCCCAAAAGAAACAACTTTGTATTAAAATATGGTTTAGCAACTTAAATACTTCACTTCCCAGCCTTTATTTATCTTGAAACACTAACAATAATAAAAAAAGGATAAAAAATGTTTTTAATAAAATAAATATTTTGTAACAAAAGTTCTACATCCCAGAAAAATATTTTGGAGAGATGACTTGTACTTAATGCCAAAACAACATTTTGTTTCTACCATATTTGCTAAAATTATATAGTATTATCCAGTTTGGAAGACAACCAACACACCCTTCAAACTGCACAAAAAATAAAAGTTATTCTATAACTTACTACCAATGACTTAGCAAATAAAAACATGCATGACTATTATTAGGTTTTCATCCATAAAAACCTGATTAGCAACATGTTTCTTAACTTAAGCAGAATCTTAATTAGTAAAGATGTTCCAGTCTTTCACACACCATCTGCATCAACCTCATTAATCATATCCTGTAATTCTGCTTCAGTAGGGTTTTGTCCTAGTGATCTCATCACAGTTCCAAGTTCTTTAGTCGTGATGGTTCCATCACCATCTTTGTCAAAAAGTGAGAAAGCTTCCTTGAATTCTGCAAAAAACATTTAATAAGGTATTTGGCCAATACTTTAAAAGGCATTTTTTATGAAATATGTTTAACTTTTCTTTCTGACAAAACAAATATGTGAAACTTTTTTGGAACCAGAATCTATGTAGCATGAAACAGTCATCATCATAGTTACAACGTAGCCAATGCAAAAACTGTTAGGTAATAAAAATCACCACAAATTGGCATTATGTTATTAAAATTGTATTGATGTTTACTCAACGTACTACATTAGCACTTAAGTCACAATTAAAGTACATTTTTGTAAGTCATTGTGTACTGTAATACATTTTAACAGTGGTGGCATTGACTGCAATGATATGCAATACACTTCCATTTCAAGAGATATACAAGAATGACTATACCTTAGACACATGATCAGATATCAAAATATTCTTTTAAAGTTGAACTAAGTTATCTGTGAGATATCAAATTCTACTTTTATTATTTTGTTTACCATTCATTTATTATTCCTTTTATCACTTAGTTCAACTATGAAAGTTTAGTTACATTAACGAGTTAACTCACCTTTAATCTAGAGCACATGGATTTTGCATACATATGCATTATGAAATGGATACACTTCCCCTAATGGTGACGGATATAAATGTTGTCAAAGATTATGTAATTTATGGTAATAGCTAGTCACAAGATATAGTTACAAAAAAATTATTGCTAATTATTGCTTGATATTGTTTTTGATACCGAGGATTGGTTTAATTTTGAAGCATTGTGTTATTCTCTGGTGAATTAGGTTTTTAATCTTTTTGTTCTTTCTCCTAATTCCTTTGTTTTTATTGAATAATATTCAGGTTTATGTTGTATTGCTTATTAACATTTGTACCTAGTCCTAGCCACGGTTTACTAATTGTTTTTGTTTTATATATATATGCGTGTGTGAGAAAATTTGTATTCTAGTTGTTTGAAAGAGTTTTTTTTTTTCTGTTATATCTAATAAATTGTGTTTGTTTGATCCTTGTTGTAGTAGCATTTCATTTAATTGTTACAGTACCTGCAATCTGTTCTTCTGTCAACTGATCTGCCTGCAACAAGAAAAGTGAGTTATATTCAAAATATATAGGTCAACACATGAAGACATTCATCAATTTGTAATTATGAACAAACATGGGACTAAAGTTAAATACCTTCAACTCAAATTCAAGAAAAACAAATTATTAAACGTATTTAAAACTATATTTCCCCATTACTTTACATCAGTTATAAGATGCAAAAATAGTCAATTATTCTCATCAGTAGTAGACCTACATATCTAAAAACATTTTGTAGGAGTATTTTAATTCCAGAAAATTTTCACATATTATTCTCAATAAACATTCCAAGAAAGCCCATTTAAAATTAATGTCTTACATACACTGACTCGAAAAAATTAGTTAACAGAATTCAAACTATCACCACTAAGCAGTCAAGAGAATGTAATGATTTGTAGTGAAAATATATTTATTTCATTATACCTTTTCCAGTTCAATTTGGAGGATAGTAATATACAACGAAAATGAATTATAGATGTCAAAAGGAATGTTAATCTATTTCTAAGTTCTCTACATATAACATCTATACTCACTAACTCAGTGTGTTTTCCTATGTATCATGTATGTGTGAGACTGTGTGTGTGTGTGCGTGTGTAACTAAAATTTATTATTAATATCAGATATTAATTTAATCATTAATATTAGGTCTAGTTGTTAGTGTTACGACACTTTTCTTACTTAGGCCAACATATTTAGTTTTACATTGATTAAGTGATTGATAGATGTAGTCGTGTACATCTTGTATTACAATTGTGATTTAGTTGGGGACTTAAGGGTGGCACATGTTTTAATAAATAACTTGCACGTTAAGATAAACAGTATTTCATTACATTTAAAAGGTTGAATGGCGAATTAGTCAAAAATACTCTTCAAACTTTCACTTTCGGCTTGAACTGTTTTAAGTTGATGATATAACCTATAAATTTCAACAAGTTACGTTGTCTTACTCTTAGTAACTTAGAATAGAAGATAACTATCGCCAGCTTAAATGAACAATGGTCAAGTTATACAATTTAGTTTAAATTCTAAATCTGAAAAGCAAATTCAACTAGGGTTATTTCTTAATTTAAACTAACGTTAGTGCCAGTAAGTTAGCATTAGTACCCTACTTAAATTAAAAAGTAAAAGTTAAATTCAAGAGTTGATTATACATCTCATAAACATGGCAATAACAAAAGTAAAATTAAAGTTTAATTTTTCGTACAATACATTAATTATATCATATAAATTATAATCAAATTAGAATACATACCATATTTCGTAAATTTCTGTATGTTGTTCAACACAAGACCTAACGTTCTATAATTTATAAAGTTTCACACACTTCTAAATCGAACGCAGATGTCTCTTGGTGCACCCAGTCTTAATGTATTCCTACACAGATTTAAATTTTACATCTGCTGTTCAATTAATAACAAATATGATTCAATAACAAATAATATTTCATTAATACATAACTTGGGGCTTCCAGTAATGTACAGCACACTTTGTTTGTATGTTTTATATTTCAATAAAGCAAGAACTGGTTTTCAGTGCGGAACACCTGGTGGTAATAAATTAAAGTTGCGCTTCGGTCTACAGCACGTGGCGTGGACTACAGAACAGTCTTTTGCTTAGGGAAATACGATTGGTTATGTTGTCTCTGCAATGCGTTTGTCCTAAACCTAAGCTAATGCAGATCTGTTCCGAGGTACTATGTCAGCCTTCGCGGTCTATTTTAGTGTTTATTATGGTGAGATCTTATGTTTCAGCTTTATATTAATTTATGAAACATGTTTTTCTCTAAAAAGATCGAACTAGTTTACCGTCTTAATAAAATACATAACTGCGAAAACGTATAATAAATTCGTTTATGTAGTGTATGTGTGTTATATTTTGTGAATATCAACAATGATGAACTGGTCTCAGCTTGCTTAGAAATTCGAGGTGAAATTGGATTAAAAATTGTGCTATCATTGACGGAAAGATGGAGTTTTCTTTCTTTTTACTCCTTAATTTAATGTTCTTGTCAGATGTTAATAAATGTATAAAATAAAATAAAAACAAGTTACTTTCTTATCGCAAGAAAACCAATATTTAAGCTAAACCTGAAGTCAGGGAAAAGGGTTATTGGAATGTAATTGAATGATTATTGTTGCTTAATAATGTTTTTGTGGAAAAGTCCAGAAGGTCAAACTTAAATAACAGATGAACCGTGCTGCTATGAACATATTTTTTTTTAACAATTCAGATATTTTAAGTTTTGTTTTAGATATGTTGTTCGCTTAAGACTGTTTTACTGACTACTCGGACTAGGCTTATAAAGAATGTGTTACAAAATCAATTCAAAGTCATGATTCGACTTTTAAGTTACATACCCCAATAAGGGCTTCCAATAGCCCAAAAGTTTTTTTAATGTGAAATTCTAAAAACAGCCTGGGAAAGAATACCATAGATAAAATTCACATACATATATATTTCGTTTTGTGGCAAATGGTTCAAAATGTGTGATAACAAAAGTAGCTATGTTTGTTTATATACTTTATCTACTAGCTAGTCTTATATTCGTTCTATATAATGTATTTTGTTTTAACATCTCTGATTTTGTATGTGATATTACTAGGAAAAAATAAATGATTATGCGTTTTATTTAGTAAAAATCACTGTTAGGTCATAAGTAAAAAATACGACAAAAGTGAATCTACACTTGTATTATAATACGATGTACCTATTTATTGCTATCCTAATTTGGCATATTCATAGTGTTTTAAATCTTAAGCTAGTGTTACTTTGACTTAAATATTGATTGAAATGTAAATTAATGTGGTAATGAACGTATGACATCCGCAAGATATATAATTGTTTATCATTTCCCACTATGTGTTTTACGAATAAAAAAAAATGTAATAAATACTATAAAATAGACATTATCGAAAGTAAAAATCATATACGTCTTGACTGTAAGAAAATATTTAGGGGAACACTCAATGAACAAATGTAAAACTGAGTCGTGATTGTTACCCCACTCCTTAATATCAACATCGCAATGTTTTGATTTTTTTTTTCAATTCAAGTACGTGAGACAATGAAAAGTACGTGTGTTTATAACATTACAGTTTTTGTTGTATTTTCTTTTTTTTTGGCTCAAGTATTGATAGGTGGTTTCTTACCTTTTGTTTGTTTGTAATTAAGCACAAAGCTACACAAAGGGCTATCTGGGCTCTGCCCACCACGGGTATCGAAACCCGGATTCTAGCGTTGCAAGTCCTCATACATACCGCTGTGCCACTGGGGGGGGGGGGTACCTTTTGAATCATCTCGTTTTGATCAAGGATTTTTTTGTTTCTAATAAATATAATATTGTTTCTAAATACGTGACTACTTTTATTCTAAACATACAACCATGAAATTGATATAATTTCTAACGTTATAAAAATATTAATAAAACTACTGTTAATTTGTATTTTCATTATCATTACTGAAATATTTAACCAAATCTATTTAATGTGCCTATATTTGTTCTAAGAAAGAATATTAGTATTTTTTAAAAGCACAAGGAAAAGAAAAGACATGCAAATACGCTAACCGATTGATCAAATTTTATATTCAATCAAGGCTCACCATTCACGTATGTGCATTGTGGAGTGTGTCCTCTTTCACCATCCTACCCCTGTAAAAGTTTCTTTGCTGCATTCGTACTGAATCTAACAACAAAGCGTAAATAAAGCCTTAAACTACGTTTTTATATAATTCGCATTTTCCCTCTTCTTTATTTTTTTTTTTACAAACATTAACAAATACACTAATTAACGAATTGATTGGATTTTCTTGTAGTTAAATAATAAATTGAAAATCATAATAACAATGTTTAGATAATATATAATTGGTGAGTTTGTCACTAATTTACTTGGTAATAAAATAGAATGACTTGTTTACGATAAGTAATTTCTTTTCTCGTTAGGTTTTTAAGGTTTTAGAGAAAAACTTGAAATATTTAAAATTGTATTGTGGTGTAATTCTGCATATTATGACCTTTCAAATTTACCTAAAGACATGGCCTGCGGGATATGAATCCAAGGATTTATGGTTTGTATCCCATTGCTGCAAAAGCACGCTCTACGCATTGGATCTGTGGATACTTTATAAGAGAGACGGTCAAACCAGACTATTTGTTCAGACAAGAGTTGACGGCGGATATGAAGAATTAAAAATTGAAATTGTTTCATCTTTATGGTGTGAACGCCTTTTTCAAGTTGGCGAAACATTACTATAATTAATTATGCTTGTTATCAGACATTAGTGTTAGGCCTAGTACTAATGTCTGATAATAAGTTTGATTAAATATAATCATGCTTCGCCAGCTTGAAATAGGTATATATACCATAACAACTGCTATTGTAAAGTACAAATGGCATATATAAATAGTTTATAACCACTACTGTGTTTGTAGTGTCCCAGTTGGCCTGATGAGCTCTGGATTGAGCGAAACGTCATTCAGTAACGGATATGGTGAACATAGTCTGATTGGAATACTATTATTATACGCTTTTATAATTCTTGAAAAGCCCTAAGGAACTAGATAAAGAATGCAGCGTTAAAAATATAATGGGCCTGATGACAAGTATAATTAATTGTTTCATTACAACTTACTGGTATATAGGTGACGTTATGTTGTTTTTATAACCAAATATTATGATATCCATGATGTATGCCTATTTTGTGGAATATAAAAGAAACCGTTTTACCTTACAAGGACTAGTTGTCATCTAAAGATCAATGATAATACCAACATAATATAACAGTCACAATCTTCATCTCCTACACCTGTCTGCGAGTTATCCAAGTATAATTTACATAAATGTTCTTGTGTTTCTTTCACAGAAGACTTTAAAGCATTGATGACAAACTTAATTGCACTTGGCCATCTTCATCATCCACATAATATGCAGCTGGGGCGCTAGTTTAGAGTTAAATTAAAACCTCGTCAGGTCGTTGTTTATTAGACTAACCTTATACATTTAAAGCCCTTTTAATCTTGTGGAAATTATTCTTGAAAGAAAGACAATATTCAAGAAGCATAGACAAATGCGATAAAATTTTGATCGTTCTTAATAGGAATTTGTTAAAAATCTAGGTACAAATAGAGATAGGGGAAGCCGGCTTTTTATCATCTAATTTGAAAAGGTATATATGTATTATAAAAGCTTAGAGATAATATTTTGGTTTTATTATAAAGGCTCAGGTTATTATCGATTATTTCATAATTCAATAAGTGCAAATTGTTTTAACCCTATAACTCATTTAATAACCTACTAAGAATGTTTGAGAGAAAATTCTTACCAATATGTATCTATATATTTGATAATTTATATTACTAGAAAGACTCAAAGTTACTCTTATATTTTACCGATGTTCAAATATTAATAGCCATATTAGTATTAAATTCTTTTAATGCAAATTTAAAACAACTGTATTCCCATAACACTACCTCATAAAATATTTTTCTCTCTTGTCGGAAATGTTATGGGACAACAAGAAACCTCCGTAGAAATGTGAGTCTTCAACGTGGGTTAAACAGTTAGGTCAAGGACGTCTAAGATTCAGGTATAACTGTCCATAATTTTGAACTATTGACTAAAGTGAAGTTGAAGTCAATCAGTCGTTTTGTCTGGTTCTTTGAATTGAATAACGGTATTGATTATCACTTTTACAACGCTTTCACAACTGAAAGAGTGGAGTGTTTTCCAAAAGTATCGTATCAAACCCTGGACCTTTCGATCTGATAGACTGATCACTAGTCTACACTCGACCAACAAATCTTTCTTGGGCTTTCTTAAGCTACGGTCCCCCGGTGGAGTAGCGCCAAGTCTACGAAATTACGACACTAAAATTTGGAGTTCGATTCCCCGCGATAGACACAGCAGATAGCCTTGTGGTTTTGCTTTTAAAGAAACAAATAAACAGTCTTAAGCTATATTTCGTTTTTTTTTTCATATAAAACTAATCATATGAGTATTGAAAATTCTGGAGTCCAATCACTCTCAAGACTTATTACCGAAAAAAGTTATGAAACAAGTGTAAAAAATTTGTCAATAACAGAAAATTAGGAAATAGGAATTGGAGCGCCGAAAAGTAAGTAAACGAGTAAGTAAAATGGGCGGGATAACATTACAACACTTGGTGGTTTTTGATACTGTGCAACCTCAAAGTGGGTGTGGCCATCGGCCCGCCCATTCCTACTTCGGGTTTTACTTTGAACTTTGATCCAATTATAGACTTGAATTGGATTTTATCAGTAGCTAATCCTTTCTAAATACTCAACAAATTTTAAAATTTCAAAAATTAGCAGTTTTGATACTATTCTTTTGGTCCACCTTTTACCGTATACATATCACTGTGTC